AGGTACTTAACCGGGTACAAGGTATCCCCCTGTATATTAATTTGCCGCGCTTTAGTAAACTCCGAAATCCCCGCTTGGGCTCCCGTATTAAGAGAAATTGTCAACTTGGACAAACCGACAAATCAGCTGTAGCCGAATATGATCTCAATAAAGAAGGTACCCAAATTACCTCAATCGAATATACACAATTACTATCCAAGTGTACAAGGAATTCAAAAACACAGGGATGATTCCAATAGAAAGGAAGGGGCAATGAGCATTAACGAGATTTGGCTACCTGTCTTCACATGTAGCCATTTTCGTGTAATTCAATGTTCGAATGTTTGAAAGTAGTTGCTTCCGATAGTCATTTCCCTCAATTCGTACTATATTTCTGAGAAAAAATCCTTTTTTATTTAAATATTCTCACTTTCTAGGTAATGATGGATGAGTGGAAAGTTCTTTTCAATAATAGTCCGAAAAAAAAACCTGTTTCATTTGGCGTGCTCCATTATTCATGAGACTGTTCTATTTACTCTTTCATTTCACCAATACAGTTTCGACATGACTCCTAGTTCTGAAATTGCAGATATACGAGGCTCTAGTTTCACCGCTGACATAAAACTATTCAATTCTATCTCCTGTCCATTTCTTCAACTGAAATATCGGCCTGTGAATGTATCGATTGGGACATTTGTCTGATGCCCTGTCAACTCATCCATTGGTGGAATATTCAACAGTAGAATAAATAACTTTAATGGGGATCCCTTTCCTCTGAGCCTTTCGAAATGTACTGAATTAGCGACTTGAATTTTATCTCCGCTTAATGTATTTTCTGGGAGGAATTACGTCGATATTGTATCGTTTGGGGGATGAGTTATATAGTCTATTGAATTCAGTGCCCCATTAATCTCCTTGCTTCAGCGTTTATAGTGTATTTAATAGGTTTCGTTGGCGGTGAGAATATTTTCCAAAGACCCTTTAGAATCCCTAGGAGGATTATAAAAACGATTCAGTACGTCATTGACTCTGCTGAAATAGTGTGGAATTGGGAATCGTAATTGTCTGCTTATATTATTGCGCTTGAATGGAAAGTATTCAATAATGCTCTAAAAATGAAATCACTAACAATTTCGAAAATCAACAGATACTCACACGAACTACGAACTGTCTTATGAAGTAGCAGAGAGGACTGGATTCTTCGGGTGAAGGATATATTAAGAACAGACGGATGAAAAACACCTTCAGGTTCTGTTTCTCTGATTCAGGTGTTTTTCAGAACAGATATATCAACCTGCCTAGGAACCTATGCGACCGTAATTCAAGCAAAAATTTACGCTATTGAAGTGTGCGCAGAGAGATTGGAGGAATCCAACCTCATATAGTATTTCCAATACCAATTGGAACAGCACAGATAAGGAATTCCCGTCTCGGCATAGGCGTCGGCATATTATTTTTCAGTGGTAGTTTTTCAGTTACTCATCCTTACAATCATAGCAATTGATCACCCCATGAAAAAGTTATCTCAACTGAATTTTTCCACCANGAGAAGCTGGGTTCATTTGGTCGAATATGAATAGGTGTGAGCCACAATAAACCCTCGCGTGTTGCGTGGGTTTATTGTGGCTCACTCTGGACCTAACCTAACCTAACTGAATGCGGTAACTATTACTCTGGTATTTGACTCCGATTTCATATTGTTATTAGTAAGCGTGCTTTGGTTTTCCCTATTTGGATAACCTGTCACATTTCTACTGATACACTTCTATATCATACGAAATATTTCATTTTCCAATATTTCTTCTTTCTTCTTGAACTTGTGACGACAAACTGAAAAGCTATTGTAGCTCTACTCGCACCAAAAACCGTATCCATTACGGAGTCCTTTGGAAATGGGACATTGTGCAAAACAAAAGGCGATCTTGCTATAGAAAATTAATATCACAAATATGAAAGATCGTCAGAGCTCCAGAAGAACTGGAATTTAATCAGCAATGTTTTACTGGCATTGTTCGGCTTTGAATGAAATGAATTTTTCATTTCACTGCTCCACTATTGTTTGAAATTTTGATGATTTCTTTCGTATATTTGTATCCGTGATAATAATTGCAGAATTTAAAAAAAAAAATCTCAATTAAAAAGCGTTTCAGTACACAGTAGCTTCGTCAGTTACATCAAACTATTATACAATATCTTTTATATAACAGGTAGATTTTAGATAAATATTCAGGTACAATACAGTATCAATTTAAGAAACCAACAACGGTCACAGATAAAAAATCGGGTTTTTTTTAGAAAGTAACCATGATTTCAACATAGACAACAACATATTTCGAGTCGAAAATATAAGAAATCGGAGATGTACGAATTAACATGTGGCTCATGCCTGAAACGTTATGTAGGATGGACTTCAAGAAAGTTAAAAACGAGAATCGGGGAACATACTAATAGCGGAGCCCAAGCGTGGATTTCGGGATTTACTAAAGCGCGGCAGATTAATATACAGGGGGATACCTTGTACCCGGTTGAGTACCTCCACCAAATATGAGCCCCATATATAAGGCCACTCG